CCCACCTCATTAGCTCACCTGTGCTCCCAGCTATAACTCATCTCCAATCAGACCAGTATTTAAGCCTCTCATGCTCTCAATGCCAGATTGTTCTTAGCCTTCCATGTAAGACTGTCCAGCGTTTTGTTCCGGACATGAGTTCCTGTTGCTGACCTTGCCTGCCTCTGACCTGCCTTTTGTCTGATTCCAGGTAAAACCCACCGGCCCCGATTTTAGTAGTTTCAGCCATATCCTTAGTTGTTTTATTTGCTTGATGCAAGCCATTAATTATACCCTTCTGAAACCGATTAACATCCTTTTCATGACCGCAGGATAAGTCTTCCAATCCAATCCAATCAAATTGTATTTAGATAGCATATTTAAAAACAACAGAGTTGACCAAAGCTCTGTAAATCAATAAATATATAAAATCCAGCATAAATACGATAGGACAAAAAACAAATACCTATAGCCACAGACTGAAAAACTCTCATAAACGATGTAAAAACAATATCAAACACAAGCAAATAGAAAACCCCAATCTAAAAGCACAGACTGATAAGAACATGTTGTTAAAGAAATGAGAAGTTAAACACCTGATCAGCAAGGGTTAAGTTACTTGTTGCCAGCTGAAACATATTATTCACTGCAGTAATAATCCAATGGAAGGCTCTTACCAATTGGCTTAGTTAAATCCAGTTGGTGACATTACATCTTTCACTGGTTTCCTATGTTCTGCATTTGGGTTCAAACACACCCCGTTACATTTTCTTTCTTTTCGGATTATTCCCCTTCCACACCCTGTTCCTGCTCCTCTTGTTTTAACGCTCCAGCATTGAGTCAAAGTTAATCGGCTTTATTGTGCACTTTTATTGTGCAGCAGAGCTCGGCAGTGCGCAAAAAGATGATGTGTGTTCCAATCTTATAAATGTGTATGAGATAGCTTAATTTGGGCAATATCCCAACAAAAAAAAGGATTGTATTGGTTGAGCACCCATGGGAACACAGTGTATTTTCCGTCAAAGTGGAGTATTTTGGAAAGCAACGAAAGCTTCCACAGAATCGTTTGGCGTGGCAAGGACAAAAGAAACTTGGATTGAAATGTTAAAACATTTTTCATTCCAGTTCCCAAGGTGCCAGTTCACACAGCGCTGAAGGAACTTTTAATTACATTCACGACTCGCAGCAGAATGACTAATGAGAATTTTAGGCTTTGTGGATCGTTGCCATTATTATTTTTTTAATTCACCGCTCATGTATTCCAACTAATTGTTACCCAGCAACTCCATCAGTGGTTTGGCTCAATATGTGAGTCCAGTTCATGGAGATAGCGTGTGGGGTGTTTAGGTCTTTAGGGTATGCTCTGGGTGAAGATTTAATAGAGCATATGGCAAATCTGCTCATTTAAAGATTCCTTTCCGGTGTGCTGATGGCAGCTTAGCACATGTCAGGAGTCATGTGGTTAGAAAACATTTCTAAAAGGAGAATTTAAAGAGTTGGACAAATAAAACGAGAGCTGTTTTGATGGGTAAACCCATCTAAAACCGCTCCCTAATTAGATTTTGCTCTGCCTTTGTAGCTAAAACTGAGCAAAAATCTGCAATATTTAATCTGTAAAAACAGGTTATAATGTGAATATAAATGATCTTTTAAGAAATGATGGGTGTTGAATTGTTTACAACAACACTGTTTGACACACATCATAGGGATTCAGTGTGTCTCTCAACAAATCAACAAAACAGAATTAGTCCGCGCTGGCCCCATGCACTGTTGTCACCATGGCAACAGCTTTTCTTCCTATCTCTCGCTGCCATGTAACCACCTTGCACCTGTCTGAAACACGTCCTGGGAAGTTCTTATCAGGTTCTGGCTCTGTCACTCTTCACTAGGCAGCAGGGGAGAACTGAATTCACAATGACTGAAAAGCTGCAACCAGCAAATATAAACAAGCTCTCCAAGACAGACGTGTTTATTTATCTGCTGACAATTTGTGAAGCCACAGAGGACAATGCAGTGGGAGTCTGGTAGGAGTAGGACACGAGAGTTTCCTGGATCAGTATGGGTTCTTGGTTAAGACACGCTAAGAGACAGGCAAGTCATACCAGAAATAAATCTCAGATAAAACACATTTTGTCCTTACCAAGCTCTGATCTCAGAAAAGGCAGGGGTTGTCCAATCATAGCTAAGCAATCATAACTAGATATGGCGGCTGTTTGAAGGAATGGTTTTATTACATTGTAAGGCAGTGTTCATTTGAAAAGAGAGACACTTGGTGAGTAATGTCTTTTTATTTTAGCACTAAACAAGAACTGAAGGGGATGAAATGGATTAAAAGGTGTGTTTGTGTTTGCCTGATCTAACATAAGCTGCAACCGAGCAGTACTTACAAGGCCAAAGGAGCACATCATCAGCTGATTAGTTTAGATTTGTTCAATCTCACTATAAACTAGATTATCCACTTGTGGACAGGTTATATTAAGAAAACAAAAAAAGGCTTGACGCTGTTTCTTAGTTCCCCCTCTCTCAGCACCAACAACATTAGTATCTGTCCTGGTCTATATTAGACTTTGGGAAGTTTATGCTTCTGCAACCCCAGCCATTGTTACCCAAAATAACATTGGTTATTAACACATCAGTTAGTCTTCAGGCTCTTGAAAGTGAAAGCTTTGAAATACAAGTGTAAGCTAAGCAGCCTAATGTTTTTAAGTCACAAAAAACTGAGAACAAGAACATTGTGTATTCTGTGCTGAAAAAGAATGAACAGCTAGAAAGGCATAGGAACAATGTACGAGTTTTAGGTCTTAACCAACCGTCATTTCTATCATCTCTGAAAGGCCCTTTAAACGACATTTTCTTCCTTTCATTCGTTTCCTCTGACAAATCAATCTCCCCTCAGCTCTCCGTCTCAATAATTAACCCTCTCTCTCTTTTGTATCGCTTTCCTGATTTGTCTTTCTGAGAGTAAGGATGACACCTAAGATCTAACTTGGGACTTTGGATCAATTCGGTTTGTTCTTTTAGCCTGGTGGGGATCTGTGGGGAAAAGTGCTTTTCTCTGCTCTTTTGAATCCAGAGGGCCTCAAACGCCACTAAATTCCTTTACTAGATTTACCATCTCGTCATATATTTGCGCTTACACGAATACACAATTGAGAAATCGTACTTTGAAGAACATCATTTTAATTTAAATTTTTTGGAAGAATAAAGAAATGAGTAATTAATTTAAAGGTCTCCTATTATACTATTTTTAGGCATATATTATAGGTCTCAGATATTTAAACAGCATGTCTCCGAAGTGTTTTGCTCAAAATACCAAACAGATCACCCATTCTAGCCATGCCTCATATCCCTCTATTTCAGCCCTGTTAGAGAAGTGCTGATTCTGGGTCCGTAGCTTTAAATGTTGCCGAGCTGCTGCTGGCCACGCCCATTTGGAGCCTCCACATTCAAACAGTGAGCTCTGTGAAGAGAAGGCTGTGTACCAGCAGAAACTCAGCTAATCGCTGCCGTGATTAAATGCCATATTATGTTCCAAACCACATCAAGGATTATTTCTGAAACAGTATGGAGCTCAAATGCTTTTTCTCTTGCGGGTTTACCACAAGGTGAGTACCTTTTTTATATCCTGCTTTTTTACACTCTCTCCAGTACAGGTTAGCTCTGAGTGTTAGCGATGCTTGCTAATGTAAACACAGACCATATGTGACCTGCTCCATCGAAATCAGTCACATTGACCCGAAGACACATTTTGAGTTGTATACACTGTTGGAAAGAGGAGATTCCTAGCTTTCTAATGATATCAGGATTGTTTTTGTAGACCAAATATTAAGCAAAATATGTCACATAATGACTGTCACCGAGTCATCATTTTGAGAAAAAGGCCTTTAAAGTTTCCTCTTCTCTGGAATCCATCGATCTGATTGATTGTTAGCGGAGCAAATGATCAAAATACGGAGGGAAGATATTTTCGTTTGGATTACTGGTCTGGGGGAAGCTCGCGAGTGTGTGTGTGTGTGTGTGTATATGTGTGTGTGTGTTTGTGTAATTTTGCGTTTGTGTGTATTCTGTGTGTTTCCCGGGGAAAAGACTCACGAGAAACACCGGCTGTTGTTATGCCTGCTGTGACGTCAAGTTACTCCGTTCTCCGCTTGTAATTATGCCGTTACAAGCTTCAACGTTGTATTTATCATCTGAATTTGCCCAAACAAGTTTAATATTCTGAAAGCCAAGACTTTTTTTTATTGAAATCGGATGAAAACAAACTGTAACGGACCCTGCTGTGTTATCTATGATTACTATACGCCTTACATTCATAATTTCAGCCGGAGAGAGGGGAAGCAGCGTTGCGGAACAGCAGAGTGGCGAGGGAGAGCTGTCATCTTCCCTTTACAAGCTTCAAAAATGTATTTATCGTGTGATGTTGGATATAAAAGTTCCATATTCTGAAAGCCAAGACTTTGTGAAAAACTATTTTTTTACGCAAATCCACGTTTATTTTGAAATGAGCCGTTGCGACTTCCGACTGATTTCAATAGAGCGGGTCACATATTACTTCCAAAACACGTCGTGCAATGTTTCTTATACAGCAACGTTTCTGATAGGGCCGTGGGTGTAAAGCCAGCCCACATTTTAGTAATGTCGTCATGACCGCAGCAAATCTGGATCAGCTCCGTTGTACCACCGTTTTTAGAGATGTGGGTAAGGAGGAAAAGAGAGAGGGTTTTATTTTCTGACACTTTGTGAGTCTCTTTACACACCGGGGACACATATTTATGTATAAAAGATATCAAAAAGTGTATTTTGCATAATAGGTGACCTTTAAGTATTTTATAAATAAATAAATGACCACATTACAAATAACTCTGAAGTCCTAATCTCTTTCGGAAACCTGATTTTGTATTTTAGTGCAGTTAGTCATGGCTCACCAGTCAACAATGAACCAGAAGTGATTTCCTACCACTCACACCCTGAATTAAAATTGAATCACACATCAAAATAATGAAAATGCAGTTGCTACTCACACATTGAAGAGATTGAGGCCGATGCGGTAGAGGCGTTTCCGCATGACGTCGGTGGACAGGGTGGGGGACTTGCAGCTGGCGGGGTTCTCACACTGGTAGCGCGGCAGGCTGAGGATCATGGCCTGCAGCGCCTCCTTGGACGAGGCCTCAGACGTGGAGCGGGCCTCTGTGGACGTGCTGCTGCTGCTCATCTGCTCCGAGCTGTTGTCTGCCGTCTCTGAGCCGCACCTCTTCACCTCCAGCGGCTGCGCCATGGGGGAGCTCACCATCAGGGCTGGAGGGGCGTACAGGGGCTCTGTGTGCGGTGGCAACATCTCCTCTGGGCTCTGAGGAGCAGCCATCTTATCCAGAGGGGTGAGGGGAGGCTGTTCGTCATCCCCAATCTCTTCTTCACTCGGGGGAGGAGCGGGGAAATCATCATCGTCCTGCTCGTCTTCTTCTAACTCTGATTCCGGGGGCGGAGGGGGCTCCTGGGGAGGCGGCGGGGGATCTATGGGTTCAGCTGGGAGTTCAACATGAGAAGGTGGGGGCTCTTGTGAGGGGCCAGGAGGTATGGAGGCCGGAGTGAAGTTTGAGGAAGCAGATGTGACAATGGCGGGGGTTCCTTCTGGTTGGACGCTGCTGCCGAGGGTGACCGTGGACGATTCCACGACTGAAGATGAGACGCGGAAGTTCTGCGCGTCAAACTGCACCGTCACATCGCGGAACGCCATCATCAGTTTGCTCGCGCTTCTCGACAGGTCACTCGGGTCCACCGGGACTTGAGGAAGCGATGACTCCCTCACAACTCCTCCTTCTCCCCCCCCCCCCCACCTCTGCTGCTGCTGCTGCTGCTGCGGCTGCACTGAAGGAGTCGGCAGTGAACTGATAGGTGCCGCCTTCTTGCAGTGAGCACATGGTCTTCAGGCTCCAGTTGCTGAGTGCATCGTCTATAGACTTGGCCAGAGACTGGACCTGTTCCGTGAAGGAGTCTTCCAGGTCGGTCAGGCTGCCGCCCACCGTGGCCGGCAGGGACGGTGAGCGCACCAATGGGATGCCTGTGAGGTTGCAGCCTTCTGCCAGGGCCCGTTCAGCGGAGAAGCCCTCAGTGTTTTGCACACGGACCTTTCGCAGGGAAATGCGTCGAGGCAGGCGACTCTCCAGAAGCGAGTTGCGGATCTTCTCGAAGTTCTTGCTGAGCTGGTACTGGCGGAAGGCGGTCTGGATCTTGCAGGCGGCGCGGCGGGAGATGAGGTGGCCCCCGTATTTGTGCTCTAACATTTCGATCTAAAAATAGAAAGGATAGAAGGGAACATAATGAATCACTGTTGTATTTTTTAAGTTAAAAGAGTCAAGTCAGGACAATCCACAATTGTAAATAAAACCATTGGTACTCATTCACATGTGACAATTAGGCTGCGTACTGATTAAACGGCAGAAGAAACACAAGATTTACAAAATTGTAAAAATAAAAACATTGCTAAGGACTCCCATAATCCCCTATTTAAAAGACACTTGTGTTTGTGAAAAGGTCACTACCAGTGTTTCAACATGTTTCATATTCTCCTGCCTGTCACTGTGCTGCATGGAAGATGAATATGGTTTATTAGTTGATTAGCATTGTACAAAAACATGGAGCGTGTGGGTGGGAGATGAATGAGCTGGACATTTAAAAGGATGGAATAATTGTAGTAGTTCATGAAAAACAGATTAAAATCCCCTGATGGAGTAGGCAAAATGAAAATATTAAATTCATCTCAATTCAAATAATTATATCATCCGATGGTTTGCAGTTGTTATTCTGCAAGCTGGCTTTGTGTACCGACACTACAACCAGTTTGGTCAAAGCCCCTCGTTTCTAAGAGAGAGAACAAGGCTGACTCATGGCATTTGGACAAAGTGTTCATTTCCTCTGCAAATAGACCTCATAATCTCTGTGAATTCCATAGAGGAGTCCTCCACACAACTTGAAATTGTCTGAAACTGAACAAGCCATTAATCTTGCCTGCGAAAAATTGCTCAATTGCTGTGGGAAATAGATAGAGATGTAATATAGCGGTTCTCATCTGGCAGCCGCTCAAACACTCAATGAGACCTCTTTGAGTTTCCCAGAACAATCAGGGTGTGGGTATCTTTTGAAACGCTCTTATCTCCTACAGCCACTCTCAAAAGCCTTTTTTTCTTTCAGACTAAATCAATGAATATAATTCTGCTCCTGTTCTAACTGTATCAAGGGTCTGCGTGTGGAGGAGGATTCAGCTTTAAAACAGAAGCAGTGTCACCTTCTGTCATTTCACAAACATCAAAAATAATATACGTGTCCTGGTGTGAAGTTCTATCATAAAAAAAGTGCACATTAAAAATAGCGTGGCATTTGATTCTAGCTGTTTTCTTGTGTCAGGGCGCCGGTACATGAGGATTAATGTGGTCGAGGTAAGTTATCTTCTTGTAAATTCAAATGCAAGTGAACGCACAGTCACTGTGGCCACGAAGGATCAAAGTGTGACTTTCAGCTGCTAATCTGCTCTCGCTTTAGTCCGGGACAAAGTCACCCAACCAGCTCCTGATAGGCTGCAATGCCTCGAGGGTTTGCAATTTGTGATAAGTGGCTAGTTCAACAAGATGCAGCCTCTGCCGTTGTCGCAAGAGGTACGGAATCACATACAAAGCTCTTCAGAGAAGTGGAATGACACTAAAAATTCATCTTATCTACTCCATTTACATTTCACTGCAGAGCCTCTGCGTGCAAAGTGAGACGTAGTGAGAATATTAAGGCGGTTCCTGAATTGGAAGCTGGGTTAGAGCTCTACTGTATCTACTGATGGTTCTCTTTCTGTGCAGCACGATCGATCTCAGCCTGAATATTCATCACTTTTAATCTCCATTGTTCTGCGCCAACATTTACAAGGTTAGCTTTATTGCATTGACTGCGCTCCCAACTAGACATTGTTTTTTTTCCAAGACTGGCACAGAGATAATACGATTGACCTCATTCAGAAAGGTGTCCCTCATCCAAACAAAATCCCCCAACAGTCCCACTGCAGAGGTGCCCTTGGTGGGGAGGAAGGGGCCGTCACTCTGGCTGCGTTTGATTAAATGTGGCAGTGGAGCTTGTTTGTTTTGCCTTGTGCGTAAGCAGGGTCGGGGGATGATGAATAAAGCATTTGGGTCACGTTGCTTTCTCTACCAGAGTGTGTATCTGATACACTTTGCCATTCAGATTACAGCCACCAGGATGAGCTGGGAGATGATGGATGGGGGGAGGAAGCGTGGAGAGGAAGCAGACTGTAAGGAAAGAGGACGGGATGTCATGCCAGTTGAGCATGGGTTGTGATAGGACTAGAGATGAGTTTTCCCACTGGTGTTCTTGTAGTAAAACCACTATAAACCTGATTTGCCAAAGGGAGCTGTAGATTTGGATCATCCTCTGCAGGATTCGACGCCTTACATGCTTTACATTGTCATAGAAACACTTCCTTCTCTAGAGCCTACAGGCTAATGCTGGAGTGGAGGTGGGGCTTTTTGAAAAGTTTGATTATAGTGTTATTACCTGATATCTGATATTTGTTCCAACAATCTTATCATGGACATGTGAGAGCTGCACATCAGTGGTTTGGACCTCTTTACAGATAACTACATGTGATCAAAGGGGAGGACGTAAAACAAGGTGGATGAACAGAGTACAGAAGACACAACAAACTAATGTATTGACGGGAAGATGAGAAGAGATAAGAGGCGATGAGACGGATGACCACGCAGAGAGTGCCACCGCTGAAAACCCCCCCATTAGCCCGCTGTCAGTTCTCCCTCTGATCACTTCACTAAGTGCTGATAGAGAGAGATGATTCCGGAGACACGGGGATTTGAGAGAACAGCGATGGCACTGCTCTGTTCCACCGGGGCTCTAAATCGATTTTGGCGGGCAGATCAGCCCCATGCTGACCCCATGTTCTCCTTTGAATGAATGAATCAAGGTGGAAAACAAGCCAGTGCTAAGTGGTTAGACACTGCATTGTGAGGTTTTACATCTATGCAGAAATGCACAAATTCTAACGTCAAATAGACTACATGTACACAAAAGGTTTTACGTTTAGATGTTTTAAAAGACATAGAAATGGGAGCTGAAATGTGATTTGGAGGAAGGAAGGCTTATTTTAAGAACCGTACGGTGATAGTGGATTTTCGGGTCTTGATATCTGGGACTTTTCTGTCTTTATATTAAATATTAATACCTATATGTTCTGCGGAGGTTTTAGTCTGTGTAATGTGTCTCAAAACAAAAGGTCAACCAAAGCACAACACAGCATGTTTCATTTAGAGATTTTTGAGAGGCAGATATATTTATGTGCAGTGTTTGTATCCTCTGTCTTCTTTTGTAACTTTATAGGAGAATGTATTAAAATAGCCTGGCAATGCAAGTCTGCCTCAAAGCATTCCTGCTTAGCAGTGTTGAAACGGCACCAGACATATTTTACTTGTGACATTTCCACTTAACTTGTAAAACGAAACGCATAAAGGGCAAGATTGTAATGGTGGGAACCCCATTAACCCACAACATTGTAAAACCCACAGTAAATAGGGAATCTTTTTTAAATATATTTTAGAAAATCATCGTTTGTGTTTTAAAACTGGTTGTTATAAGCAGTCATTTATAATTACCAATAGGAAGGACTGCTCCACTCTTTTGAAAATATGCTTATTTGCTTCATATAGCAAACGTTACATGAAAAGATGAAAACTCCTGTCATGCTCCTGGGTCTCGATGTAAGATATGCAAAAACCTCTGCATAAGTAAAGCAGCACATTATCAGATCTCACATGCTGCAGAAATAGGGGGCAAAATGGAAAGCCAAGATTATTAGCCTGCATGCTCATGCACAGTGTCTTACAGCATAGAAACATCTGCATGATTAATGAGATGATTATATCACAGCGAAACTGGGACACAACTAATGCTGACTGTATTACAAAATGAGGAGGACAACAGAAGACGTCATCAGAGGATGAAGATCAGGGAGGATGATGCATCCTTGACCGCAGTCAGATACTGAAAAAGGTCAATGTTTACTGAAGACTAAAGGAAAAGAAAAAGTGCAAAAGAAAGATGAGACTGATGCAACCTATTGAGGAAAGTGAAATATACATCTTAGTTCCTACTCTTTTCCCTCAACCTATCCTAAGGGAGTGCATGTACGCAGACACGTTGTGCCTCTCCACCTCTGTTCCTTACTTCTTACTTGCTAACCCTTTTCCCTCAACCTATCCTAAGGGAGTGCATGTACGCAGACACGTTGTGCCTCTCCACCTCTGTTCCTTACTTCTTACTTGCTACCCCTTTCCCTCAACCTATCCTAAGGGAGTCCATGTACGTAGACACGTTAGTTTTGCTGCTATAGGCTTAGACTGTCGGGGGACACCTTACTTCTTCCTTCTGTCTGTCTGTACCTGTGTACTCTCATGTTCCGAATAACTCAGCTTCTCCCAAATTTCTTTTTGGTGTCTATCTACGCCGGGATCCTGAGTCGTGGCTGATCCTGTCGCTGCGGTCCTATGTCCTGGATCCTGAGTCCTGGATCCGGAGTCCTGGATCCTGAGTCCTGGATCCTCTATCCTGAGTCCTGGATCTGAGTCCTGGATCCTCTATCCTGAGTCCTGGACTTCGAGTCGTGGCTGAACCTATCACTGTGGTCCTGCCTGACTCTCATCATACTACTTCCCTGATGGCTCCCACAGGATTGTTGACATCCCTGTGGATTCATCTTCTTATTATAGACACATGCATTTCCAAACATTTGGTCTACCTATGCTGTAAAATGTATTATCTCTTCGATTTACACACAACATCTATTGCACGTCTGTCCGTCCTGGGAGAGGGATCCCTCCTCTGATGCTCTCCCTGAGGTTTCTCCCATTTCCTCCTTTAAACTGTGGAGTTTCTTTGGAAGTGTTTCCTTGTACGATGTGAGGGTCTAAGGACAGAGGGTGTCGTATTGTCATACTGATATTCTGTACAAACTGTGAAGTCCACTGAGACAAATGTAACATTTGTGATTTTGGGCTATATAAATAAACATTGATTGATTGATGATTGAAAGTCATCACATTTGTCATAGGATTTTGCACCCTAAAAGATCAAATACAGTTTTCACAAAGGACATGCATTGCAGTGCAGTCCAGTTTTCCTATTAATACTTAGGCTGTAGAAGTTATATATTTATATTTAATATATCCTATTAAACTGTTGATATATAGTAACTACTTTAAGCTTCAAGGTTAAACATTTTTTATCTGTTAAACATAAAACATGTGCTTTTTTTGTGGATATGAGTTATAAGGATTTGTCGTGGTTAGTTTATCTCAACATCACAAAACATACAAAAATGCATTAATGTCATGTAAAAAACTGCCTATGGAATGAAAATGACAGGTTAATTTATCAGCTTTCTAGTAAGGGCATAATAAATAATTCAATGTGAGGCTAAATTTAAACCAGTTTGAAGAAATATAGAGTATAAAAGAGTGCTCAGGTTAAAGTGAGTTAACGCTACTTGATCATGAGGTTCCTGCCATGCAATCAAGGTATCGCACCACAGATCCAATTACCCTGACATTGATCTGTAGATGCATCAAGCCTAGCTGTGCAGACAGAAGATCAATCGGGCTGATCGCGTATCTCCAGCATTGTTGACAGGGAGATAGTGGGGGAGATGTGAGATTAAAGCAGTGAGAATGGAGGTAGTAGCCGAGGTTAAAATAACTTTTAGTCTCGACTAGGGAAGCGATGCGTGAGGAATAGAAGTAAAAAATTAGGGGAAATGGAGGTGACAGAGAGTGAAAGGAAGCAACCATCTCACAGTACATTCGTTTCAGCTGCCAGTCATGGAAAAAATACTTTAAAATATCTGCATTAATGATTTTGTACGTTTTCTTTTCGCTAACTGAATTCAAACAAATTCGGACAGAGTCCAAATTAGTTGTTTATTAAGTGTAATCAAGTGTGCCACAACTCATTTAGAGTTACAGTAATGGAAGTCAAAACTTAAAGGAGGGAGGTCATCATGACTTGGGCTTTTATAAATAAACCAATTCATCCAAAAACATTGCAAAATCTGACAAATGCAATTATATTTGGGGCTTCAACTAAGACTCAGTCTCAGACTCCACTGCTGATACTCTGACAATAAATGCTTAGTCAATTAAAACGTCAATAGCAATGTCATAGAGGGTGTTCAACTGTCCTGTTTATACAACCAGCAGTCAATAATCCAAAAATAACCAATTCACAATGTTATAAACAGAAATCAACTGCACATCCAACCAAGAATCTTTAATCTGCTAAACTTGAGCATTTCTGCTTGAAAGATAACTACAACATTAGTATGGCACTTTCTTACGGTAGTCCCAAGACACAGATTTAAAAACAATAATGGTAAAATTGAAGCAGCAGAAATAAATAGCCCGACCTGAAGTCCCTAGTTTTTGCCAAGCTCAAAATATTTTGAATCCTACAATTCCCACAATGTAACATAACAGCTGTTCCTTAATACCCAATACGACATACATTATTTCATTGGCTGTATGGGTTTTCTTGTGACAAGTAAACTGGATTTCATGAGGTCAATTGGTAGAAGATATGCAAAAACTCATCAACCCAAAAGTTAGACCCAAACTCTGTTGTCTTACCTGGCTGGAGATCCATGGACTGAAGAATGTAGGGTAGATGGATGATAATGAAAACAGATGGCGATGGTTTGATGGTTCTTGAAATGGAGATGATTATGTAATGATTTCCAAGCCCCTGATGAACAGCATGATAAGAAGACAAGCATGTGAACATAGAAACACATGTTTCAATACCGTCACAGTTCATAGGCATATTGGTTTCACACAAAATTGGTTTAACCGGCTGTAATAAGATGAGAACAGATAACGGTCACATGCTTTTATTCTCTTTGGAAATGGGGGCTTTTCATCATCCAGAGTGTCTCATGAAGCAGCAGAGAAAAGGCAAAGGGTGCTTTCTAATTATGCAGATACAAACGGAACTTGTTTGCACATTGATGTGTGTATTCGTGCATGACGCCAAATTAATACATTGTGTATAACCTAAAAAACACACAGGAGTTGTTTCATTTCAGTAAATTGCAACACAGCTGAATCAGTGTATACATTATGGTATCTGAAAAGGCTCAAATCCAAATTTGGTAAAAGCCAAAACCCTCTGAGGATGCTGATGAAATGATGGCATGACAATGATGGCTTATGATAATGAAGTTAAGGAAGCTCATCATTAGTTGATACACTTTGGGTGGGTAATGCCAATAGGGAAAATACCACATAACAACTGAAAATAAAACCTCATCAAACAACAGCTTCTCCCCTAACCCGGAAGTCTTCCTCCTCAGACAGACACCACAAACATGTCGGACCACAAGACGGACAAGACACCAAGTTACTGTACCTGCCGCCCTCCCACTCCCCTCACCCAGACAACACACCCGCCCTCCCCCATCCCCAACACAACCCTACCTGCTTGTTTTTGAGGTCAAGCGAGAGCTCATAGTCGGAGGTGGCGGAGTGCGAGCCGGCCCCGTTGCGCTGCACCCTCAGGGGCGAGGCCGTGTGGTGCAGGCTGGCCCTCCTGCCCGCCCCCCCTCCTTTAGCTCCTCCCCCTTCCTCCTCCTCCTCTGCCTCCTGTGCTGCCTCGCTCTCACGCCGCTCGGGCTGCGCCTCCTCTCCATCTTGCTTTCTCTCTGCCTCCTCGACTTCTTCTTCCTCCTTCTCTTGCTCCACCACTGTCTGCTCCTCTCCAAGAGGTGAAGGGGCTTCAGGGGGGCCCTGTTCAGCTTCCTCCACTTCGGGCTCAGGCTCGGGCTCAGGCTCGGGCTCAGGCTCGGGCTCGGGCTCGGGCTCGGGCTCCGGTACAGGCTGGGGCTCGGGTTCGAGTTCTGGCTGAGGTTTGGTTTCGGGCTGTGGTTCGGGCTGAGGCTCAGGTTGGGACTCACACTGGGGCTCTGGGGGAGGTTGAGACAGTTGCTCTGGGGATGGTTGAGTCTGTGGGGGTGGTTGAGTCTGTGGCTGTGGGGGGGGTTGAGTCTGTGGCTGTGGGGGGGGTTGCGTCTGTGGCTGAGGTTCTTGCAGCGGTTGCTCAGGCTGTGGTTGTGCCTCGACCTCACTCTGCAGCTCCCCCTCTCCTCCCTTCCCTTCCTCCCCGATAGACGGTTCTGGAGGAAGGTCATCGCTGCAGAAAGGAGGAGAAAACGCAGAGTGAGGTTGCTGCTGCATCCGTGGTGACCTCTGACCTCTTCTCCAGGCTGCCTGGGTTAGTGGTAAGAAGTTGACCCTTTTTTCTCTCTTTTTTTTTTTTTGTAAGATCTCTCTCTGTGCTACCAACTGGGTGCAGGGCCAGTTCATCTGTCTACCTGCTCTGTTCTGTCTGCTTTAGTCTGTCTAGACACTGACAGACAATGAAACAAATAAAAAAATGTACAGCACAGAACAGCTGACAACACCACAGTGTACAAGAGGAGTGACAAAAAGATCAAGAGCGACTATTTATTTCAGCGAAAATCTTCAGGAGAGAAAAAATGACAAAGAAAAACAAGAAAGCTGACAGCCAATTGTGACACACACACACACACACACACACACACACACACACACACACACACACACACACACACACACACACACACACACACACACAGCCAATACAAGTGTATTTTAGATTGTTTGTGTGCTTGTAAATGGTTGCAGCTGTGGAAGGAGGCTTTTTTTGGTTCTTTTATAAGACTATTTTTTTTGTTTTAATGGAGAAGAATATGTTTTATCCCCTTCTTACTTTGTCTTTTTCTGTCTTCCTGTCATATTAGTGTCCAATTATAACGTGATGACCTTGAGTTGAATCATTCCTACTGGATTCTGACTTCCTGTTATGATGTTTCTGTGTGCATGATGTCATACAAGCATTACATATATATCTGTCTCTGCAGTAAAGGCTCTTTTATCATGCTGGTGTTATTACCAGTGACAGACTAAAGCAAATGTATCGATACATCTTAATAAAGAGAACATGAATACATGAAAAGCCATCATGTCTCATGTCTGGTAAATTACCGGAGATATGAAGTGATATAAAGTATGATTTAAATAAGGAAAGACTAGAAGCTGGTGTCAAGTATATGGTTAGCATGTTAGCATGAACACTTTATAATAAGCACAGAATACAGTTGAGGAGGATAGGAGAAAATGTGTTGCACTCAAAATGTAATTACAAGGCAGCCTGGTGGAAACACACATTTTTGGAGTAAATTTCAGGGCAATCCTTTAAATTATTTTTAAACTCAAAAAGCGAACTCATGGTTGCACTACTTTGTGCGATACACCACCTGGAAAACATGAATGTTGGGATCTTGACCTATACACATTTGAACTTTTGACCTTCTGGTACGTTGCATAAAATGTGAGAGGATCACCAAATGTATTTAAATTCATCATCTGTACACCATTAATATCTGTAAAGGTTTCATGACAATCCGTCTAGCAGTAGTTGAAATATATCACATCGGACAGAGGTGTCTGACTGATTGACTGACATTGCCTTGACCGGAGCCACGCTGCTAGCATATTAGCATTACGCACAAATAAATCAACATGGAAAACAATTTGTCCGACTTACAAGTGCTGCCTTTGTTTCTGCTTCAGTATTGTCACAGCTGTCACAGTATCAGCAGATCAATCTGAAGTATCCTTTTGAATTCGTACCAGATTTACACACTAGTTGACAGTGTGATAACAGCTAGGAATGTTATTACCCTGAGTAAGATAGCATTTGTTTCCCCCTCTTATTGGATACGGTGAGTCAGTGAGCATAAAATCAGGACACTCAGGCTGCCGTGTGCAGAATGCTGCAGGAGAACATCAGCATGATATTCCCCAGGGGGAGAGGAGGCTATAGAGAGAAGACAAACTTTAAGTCTAAACAGAAAGAGAGGCAATTGAACAGTAAGACAAAGGAATTCTCTACATCTATCTCTGTCTTTTGATCTTATATATATATGTGTCTATGTATGCTTATTTCCTCGCCTGGTCCAGAGTGTGTTGTTGGCAGCCTAAAACCTTAAAAAACTCCAATAACTGTTCTGCAGGGTTCCGTCTGTTTCCTCTTCCTGCACAGACGGCTTTCTTTTCATTTTCATCACACATGGCAGCACATAAGCTTGAGAGAAAGCATCTTTAGAGTGGATATAGCTGGGTCTGCAGCTTCTAAAATAGAGCTCGTATGAGTAATGAATAATAAATAGAGAAATAAAGGCAGCTGCTCCGACACTCAGCTTGCAGGTGAGCTTTCTTCTCGTGCAAAAAATAGACCTGCCTGGCAAACATATGACTTGTTTCAGAGGAGGGTCGGTCTGCAGCTACCGTCAACGTTCACACTATGTGTCTGCTCATTGTTGTGAATCTAAATGTTCCTATTTGCATTCTGCCGAGAGATAATCTGACAACCAATAGGCTACGTGCGGCTGGATTTAAGTCCAATACTGATAAGGGGAACCAAAATAAAGTTACAAACAGGTGATAAGGTGTTCAAAAGGGATTATCTTTGAGGGGACAGAGGGAAAGAAATCCACATAAAATGACTGATAACCTGCATGTGTATTTATGTAAAGCATAGAGTTACTGTTAAGATCTTCAAGCTTCACTTTCCTCCAACCTCCAAGTCTGCCACTCTTCTCATCCTCACTGCTTTCATCCAGTTTGCTGTCATACGCTCTGTCCAAACGTCCCTTTTGCAAACACACACACACACACACACACACTGTCCTCCACGAGTTAAGGAGATTGAGCGGTTCCAGCTGTCAATGTGACTGACGAGGAGGAGACGAGCCTTGGATGCTTCCTCTCTCTCTCTCTCTTTCATCTTTCCATACGTCAGTGAAGACGGATGAGGGCAGTGTCCTCCGTTCGTTCTACCCAGAATAAAATGACTTCCTGCCATGATTGCTAACAGGCTGGGACTGGTGTGAAGGCTGGTCTGGTGTGTTTGTTTTTTCAGTGTAACGTATAGCCATCGACTTGCAATTCAACATTGACTTTGGACGGGGGTGCATGACAGTAAAGGCTTCATTCTACTTCTGGCTGCACACACTTTCTGTAGGTGCAACCGCGGCAACTGGGTGTCATTTTGCAGCATCGCAGGGATGGGGAACACACTTCATTTGTTCGTAAAGATACCGTGTTTTCATCCTTTTTCAAATATTTTGATTCTTTGATTTAAGATCATCTATGGCAATAAGCTGCAATTGCTGGTGTGATTTGTTTTATCTCACTTCCCAGAGATTAATGATTTGTTTGGGGGCAATGTCGCCACAGTTTGTAAAACTACAATCTCTGAAGACATCGACTCTTGGCTCTAAGCCTCTGTGAGCAGATCTGTATTAATATGCATGCGTTTTTATAGAGATTTATTATCAGAGGATAACCTTTGCGTAATGAGATTTTGGTAAATGCTTTCCGCCTATGTTGCTCTCCACACAGACTGTTTACCTGCACCTCAAACTGTTCTGCAAAAATGTATTCAACAACCAGTCCGAGGGGGTCCACTGGAGGGTAAAATACTGAAATGCCCCAGAGCTGACTACAGCCACTGAGCATCTGTTGCACTGTGTGTAAGGGTGATGACATATGACAGTAAGACCACCATCTTTATGCAGGAAGTCCACTGATTATGTCTCCATTGTCAACTCAGTCGCTGAGGACATGCTCTGACTTTCTTTAACCTTGATCGCACAGATTTTTCCACGTCATCACAGAAGAAGTGTACAGCAGCAGGGATGAGATATCTGGCCGTGTGGATAGGGGGGTTCAAAGGGTCTTTCCTCTGGTGGACAGCAGCTGCTGAAGAGGCCATTATGTGGGGGAAACCATATCAGCAGAAGTCATAGCAAATGAGATCCCTGAAGAAACTCTTTCTTTGGATCTTTCACATGGATTTGATTTCTTTCCTGATATAGAAGAGGAGGTATAATTCAATTTTCCGCTCTATTTTCTGCCTCTTTAAATTATTCCTTTTAAAAAGCTAAGCAAGAATCAGCCGTCTTGTCCGCTTCCCTTCCCCCCTATATATTCTTATACTGTTCATAGAGAATGAATCACTTCATTAGGCAGAAACATAAGGGCAGATTTGGAGCGAATCTTCTGCATACATAAGCATATTTCTTTCTTCTGGAGCATGCAGAGGGTAATGTATGGGGTAAATTTGCTGAATACATCACCCAAGTGTGTTTGAAATTCATCAGTTTCCGCAAGCAGGAAAAACATGATGCGGTGTTATGTGCACAGCAGAGAATTCAGACTGTGACTAACTTCAGAAGTATGATTACCTGTTGCAATGCTACATTATTTATCTCTGACCTAGTAGGCGAAAAAGTCAAAAGTGTAATAACAGCTGCAAGAAAAACACAGATTCAACCGCCCTGATAGTTCTGCACTATTGCCATTTCTCTTGAGACTGCAAATCATTTTCATTCCCGTTCATTTAGGAAGCTTTCAACCGAAAAACAACAAACACTTGCAATTAAAATGCACACTGTGGGCTTCAAATTAGCATCAAAATGACTTGGGTTTTCTCTAATCACAAGGTCAAGTTGAGTCATTTTCTTTTGGTGTTAGTGATTACAAAGAGTACATAACACAATTTTCCACCTTCTCCTAATTAATCTGTGGCTTAACCTCTTGTTAACCTCCTTGTGAACAATTATTATGCAGTTCAGGAAGGCGCACACTTTCACTTATTGTGGTTCACTTTTAAAGTACAGTATAATGGACGGGCAATCAAGGTTTGTGTGTGTGTGTGTGTGTGTGTGTGTGTGTGTGTGTGTGTGTGTGTGTGTGTGTGTGTGTGTGTGTGTGTGTGTGTGTGTGTGTGTGTGTGTGTGTGTTGTGTGTGTGTGTGTGTGTGTGTGTGTGTGTGTGTGTGTGTGTGTGTGTGTGTGTGTGTGCAGTAAGGAGGAATGAGGAGATGAGGCAGAGCGTACATAGCATTTCTTCTGTAGCTCAAGTGTAACTTTAAAAAAGAAGATATCCCTGGGGATCATCAACTTGTGACATGTAGGAAGGTCAACAAGCTGCATCATGGGAATTGTAGATCTACCACTTTTGAAGCTATTAACTGTTGCATGAATGTTGACTTTCAACATATCAGTTAAATGTTCATTGACAACGTATTTGTTTTCCACCAAA